TCAGTCCCACCAGGTGCAAGAGTAAAAAGTCAAATGACTGCAAGTGAATGTAAGAAGACTACTGATGTTGCTAACTTAAGAATTCACATAGAAAGGGCTATATACAGAATAAAAACCTTTAGAATCTTAAAAAATGTATTACCTATTTCAATGCTTCATCATATGGATGATATTATTTTATCGAGTGCAGCTTTGTGCAATTTAAAGCCTGCTTTAATAAAAAAAATTGTTTAAATTTGTTTAAAATGTATATATATTTTTTAACTTAGTACTACTCTTAAATGCTTAATACAAGGAAGGGTGAAAATTTTATTTCTGACCTTGTAAATAGGGGACCTTGTAAATCTTAATTTAAGGGTTGGCTTTTTTTTTTTTTACAGAACATGCATAAATCAATTTAAGTTAGTGTAGATTGTGGTCAACTGTGCATCTTTAACAACTGTTTTATAATTACAATAGGATTTAGTTTTCTTGTATAAAGTGAGGAAAAGCTTATTTTATTAAAATCAAAACATTATTTTCAACAAAGATTAAAAAGATTTTTTTAATTTTTGGTGTTAATAAATGGGAGGGGGGGGGGGTGATCTTAATAAACATTTGTGGGTGGGAAAACTTTTGGAAAATTGCTAAACTTCCTCCCCTTTTTGTATTAAACACACGATAGTATTGAGGTTGTATTTTTTTATTTAATTACTGAGGTTGTTTTTTTAATTTTTATTTTTTAATTACTTGTAAGGGATGCCGGACACCACCGTGCACTTTTAATGAATACATGTGTTTCATTTTATTACTTCTTTTTACTATAATAAGAGGCGTGGATAAACTTTTTGATTTTGAGTAACTTTACTTAAATATTGTTACACCATTATTTGGATCTTATTGTCTTCTTTTATAGGTAAAAAAAAATCTATAAATGCCAATTTAAATATAAGAAGGGTTTTATAATTTAAAACACAGAGTTTCATTTTCATAATTTTATTCCAATCAGTTAATAGTAAAATTTACAAAGACAGTATTTAAGTAATGATCGTTGTAATACTTAAAAAAATCAACTTTCATACTCAACCAACCAGCTTCATCAAATGCAATTTTATCAATTATATAAAAGAAATTTTTCATTTAACTTTTTTGTAATATAAGGAAGAGATATAGTAGGATCTTGTGGTGATGTATGGTTTATAGAAAATGGACATTTTATTTCTAAACAAGCGGGCAACACGAACATCGAACAATTCTATCAGGGCTTCCACCTATATAGGGCATTTCTACATCTAAAAATAATCCACATTCATTTACAGTTAAATTTTGATGAAAAGATTTCATAACTTCAAAAAACTGGCATGCTGCTTCAACTTCCATCGCTCTCCCGTACTTTAATGCAGGTATATCTGGGTTCACAAAAGTTAACCCTGAAATACTTTGGTGTAATGACCACATGTCAACTTTAATGCCCATATTAATCTTTTTAATTTTTTTTTAGAACATCGTGAGCTTTTGAAGCAGTTATAACTCGCTTTCGAAAATTAAACCAAAGCTTATTTGTGTTTTGACCCATAGTCAGACGCTCTATATCAGTAATTATTTTTTGAGTCATATTTGTTTTTATATTTTCACAAAAAGAAAATTTATTGTCTGACATAACAATAGTATCATCCATGGTCAAAATTTTAGGTTTGGTAACATTTTCAAACACGATTAATTCTTCCATATAATAAATTTCAGGTTTAGGTACAGCAAAGTTATAATGCTATGAGGAGCAACAGTTTCGATTGCTTTTGCTATGTCTGTTAAATTTAAAAGCTTTATATCACAGTTTACTAATGGGCTGTAATTACGTTTTTCATTTGATACTAGTGAACGCTTTTTTCTTCCACGCTGACCAAATTCATCACGATCAAATTTTAAGTCACATTTTTGTTGGTGCTACTATGCTACGATTTGGAAGCCACTCTGATTTTGAACTAGTACAAGCTACATTTGTCAAACCATTTCTAACAGCAGCCTCTATTCGAAAGAGGCTTGCAGCAACATGATTACATGTCTGCGATAGACCAGCTAGACAAGTACAATGTGCTGAAATTATTTTAGCAGTTTTTTTTATTAATAATAATCCATAGCTTGTGAAAGAGATCATTAATTTTTTCAGATTTCCTACAGTTCCTTTTTAAATAGCAATATTCACTCTCTATTCTTATTTGATGATAAAATAAAGGTTCAAGCCAGCCACATTTAAAATAACTATAAGCTTTACACGTTTTGCAGTCACTTAAGTCTTTACTTGCAATTTCAGCAGGGTTAAATAACAAATATTTGTAAATATCAGGATATAACAATGTTGGCCAACAAGTTAGACCTTCATCTTCTGATAACCAACCATTACTAAGCTTAAAAGGATCAGGTAGTTCAACACCGTTTATAAAAAGTTTTCTTTTGTACTCAGTAAGTAAATCATGATCCACCTCTTCAGCTGTTTTAATAGGCGTAACATTGTTTTCCATTGCACAATAGACTCGAGCTGCAAGAATTTCTTTCCAGATATTTTCAAGCCACGAAAACGTAAATAAGACTTCAGTTCTTCAACTTTCATACTGCATACGATATCATAATTCATTTTGATTTATATGTTATATATTTGTTTTAATAGTGATAGGATTTGTTTTAGTCGTTTGTTTATACTTCGTTTACTCAAGAATTTTACGACTTGATTTGTTTCCCTTATAAACTCAATCCAGTCTTTTCTTTTAATTCTCCGTAACGCGGCTCGAACTGGTGTATTTGATGATTAGTTTTGAAAATATCTTCGTCGCCAGACCAAAAAACATGATTTTAAGAGAAGTACAAGTAACAACAATAAAAAAAGTAAACAAGCAAAGTTTAAAGTTCTTTACTTTTTTACATTACGCCGACAAATGTTTTCTTTTGATCACAAAATCTATTTTTTATTACTAATAACTTTTTTTTCTTGATTTGTTTTTATGGTTGCATTGCTTTTCTGCCACCGAGATTTGTTTGGTAACTTTACGTAAACTTCAACTTTACTCATTATTACTAAATGTCATTCAAAACTCATTAAAAAAGCTATTAAAAAAAATTTCAACATATATATAGATTAGACATTTTGTATAATTTGATTTGCGATTGATTCGAACTCTGTTTTTTTTTTTCTCCATATTAACATTTTTCAGGAAAGTATTCAGAAGAAATGACTATAAATATTGGTTTGATAGTGTACAAAACATCTAGAATAAAAAGTTCAATTATGTCATTTTTCCAGCCAATTTTTTAAACTCGAATTTGTACCATGAACAATTTAGTGCGGCGAAACTAATGGCAATTTTTTGCCCAATTCACGAAATGCTACAACGTTCGGGTTTTTTTTAAGTGGTCAAACAACTTATGCCAAACACACTTATGTTTAACTAGATCATTTTGTTTTGTATTAGAGTTCTTTTTAGCAATAATAGTTGATAGTTTTTCATTAACAACCACCGCAACAAGTTTTTAGTTTAATACCTAGGCTTACTTTTTTAAAAGAATTAAAATGTAAATTTACAAAATTTGCACATTCTAGGCATAACTATGTTTTTACGTAAAATAAATCTCACAATAAAGTTGAAATCTTCATTTATATTTTAAAGATCCTGTACAACTTTTTTGTTCGACAACTTATTGTAGAAGGATGAGCCTGGAATACATGAAGTACTTAAGTCTTAATTTGCCCAGGTTACCCTATAAAACTTATTTGTAGTTTGTGGTCATCAATTTATGCTCGAGTTGTTTCTCAAATTAGTTTTGATATTATCTCTATGCTTTATTTTATATCAAGTTTTATTTACAAGTCAAAATATCTTTTAGTAGTACCGTAAAATCGACTAAGTTCGGTCACTTAAGCTTTGAACATTTATTTATCCAGCATAAAAAAAAAAGTCAATTTTTTTTTCCTAAAACATACAGAAAATTATATTGATAATCGATATTGTAAAAATAAAAACTTTTTAGGATTTGCAACGCATCCATAATTGTTGTTGAGCTGTAATTTTATCTCCAAAAAAAGTCACAAGCTTGATATTTTTTAGAACTCAAAGAACCGTCAGTTAATTTTGAAATTATTACCAAGTTTTTTATTCAAATAAAATGTGTATCTATTTCAAAAATATAAAAATTTACTGGTAAATTTACAGGTAAAGATACCGGTAAATTTTACATTGGCAACACTTAACAACATTTCATAATATTACTGATAGTCGTCTTCTTCGTCGTTTATCTGTAAATGACAGAAGTTAGAGTATTTCAAAATTTCACTCATTTTTATAAAAGAAGTAGTTAATTTTCAAAAATTAATAGTTTTTTTTTTGTAAATATAATTAATTTGGTAATTCTTAATAATACTAAGATTAAATTTGATCATTTATTAATTTAAATTATTAATTTAATAATTTGCTTATTTTAGATTTTAGTTATATGCATTTTTTCACATTGTTGTTTCGCTAAAGAATTATTTCAGCAGGTTGCATATAAACATTATTTTTTTTATAAATTTATATTTTAGAACTAATAAAAAATATTATTTGAGAAAAAAAAGTCTGTAAAATTTGAGTTTTGCATGTTTTTTAAATATTTTTTCTTAAATGACCGAAGTCACATGGTGACCGAACTTAGGCGATTTTACGGTAGTTATAATAAAAAGTTTAAACAAATTTTTTTTATAAAATAAGAAGGTGAAAATACTTTATACTATATATATATATATATATATATATATATATATATATATATATATATATATATATATATATATATATATATATATATATATATATATATAT